TTCTATTTTTTAGTCAGTGCTCTTTACCCATGATTTGCATCCAGTGTTGTGAAATGTGTTTTTGTAGTTCTTCTTCTTTGGCTGGTCCAGTAGGCTATCAAAAAAGTAGTGTGTGTGTGCTGTAGTACCCCCGGTAGATGATGGTTGAGAGCACTAGAATAACTTGTTTAATTCTTACAGTATGTGTATACACAAACTTGTTTTGAAATGTCTTAGACTGGTTTGTCAACTTTTGAGAACTGAGTCACGTATGGGAGGAGCCTAATCATTCAGTCCTGTCAATCATCATTACCAGCATATACAGTGGGTACGGAAAGTATTCAGACCCCCTTAAGCACCTGAGTTAAATATATGAGTGTCACAGCAAAGGGTCTGAATACTTAGGACCATGTGATATTTCAGTTTTTCTTTTTTAATAAATCTGCAAAAATGTCAACAATTCTGTGTTTTTCTGTCAATATGGGGTGCTGTGTGTACATTGAGGAAACAAAATTAACTTAAATGATTTTAGCAAATGGCTGCAATATAACAAAGAGTGAAAAATTTAAGGGGGTCTGAATACTTTCCATACCCACTGTATAAGCAGCAATCATTTCATTGTCGAGCTGAGTCTCGGGTTTGAGACTCCTTCAAGGACAGCAAACCATTACCAGTTTACCATTATCTATCAAGACTGAATGGGCAGGTGAACTCATGAAATGTGCTAAATATACATTACTATTACTATTACTACTTTATAACTCAAAAGATAATTAACACTTATGGCTGTATGTTCACATTCATTTGTCACCTAACAAACACAATTAAATAGCCATGTTGTGAAGGCTCTATACTATGTGCTATTAAGTCTGTGAAAAAAATTGTCTCTGTGACCTCATGTTTTTTTTTTTTCCTGCTCCGAGATACATTTTTAGCTGTTAGATATTTTGTGTGTGCCTTTTTAAATTATGTCCAGTCAGTTGAATTCTCCACAGGTAGACTCCAATCAAAGTGTAGAAACATCTAAAAGATTATCCATAGAAATGGGACTCATCTGAACAAAATTTCAAGTGTTGTATCAAACACATCTGAATGTCAGAAATGTCAGATTTCTCTTTTTGTTTTATCAGTTTGATCTCTTTAAAGTTATCACAAATCTGCAAAGTTATCACAAATCCTTTTTGCCTTGTCATTGGGTAAAGTGTGGATTTATATGAAAAAAAAATACTTTAAGCATTTAAACAAAATGTTAATGCACTGTGACATAGTTGCAGTGGCATCTTGTGGTTATTTTGGGGATATTTTTTAAGTGTAGTGGAGTTTAAGTGTGCTTCACATTTTTTAGGAGTAGGCCTGTGTGCCTGGCTGTAATAGGGAACCCCACACATGACATGCTGAAAAAATAGATATAGCCTCTATTTTTTCATTCGTTCCCTCATTTTATTCATTTGTTCCCTTAATTTAATTAGTGGCTTCTTTTTATTAATTGGTTCACTCGTTTAAGGTAAATCGTGGGGACGTTGTAGCCTACTAATTTGTTTCTTCATTTTAATTTAGTTAAATCGTGGTCACGAAACGAGGTAATTAATTGAATCGCTACTACTGATTCTGAATCACCATGCACAGACATTTTGGGAGGCAGGTGAGGGAAAAGGCACCCCTCTCAAAATTATTTATATAAAAAAAGATTAATAATGTTGAACATCTTTTAAATTACACCAATTAACACTATACAGGGGTATCCATCCCTCCAGGACGAGGATTGGACATTGCTACACTATTGTGCTGTTATACCAATTAAATGAAATAAGTAGGCCTACCTATTATCAAAATCTATTTAATACACAATTGAATAAATAATGTTAAATATAACATTTTGAATTTAGAAATATAAAATAGTGGGAAAAATTAAACAGTATTATACACAAAATTAAAACTGCCAGTAGTTGGCGTCAAGTGCTAATAAGTAAATCATAGAATAATTCATTTAACTGGTTCGTTCAAACCGACTGATTTGTTCAGAGTTGGATGAATCTGTGATCACCACAATAAGACTGGATCTGCCATCCACATATGCACTACCTAGGCATATATCCGACAAAATGCCATCTGAACAAGTAAGTAACATATCTTCCGCTTTTGTTCGGACCAAATAAAAATGTAAATGTTTTAAAATAAATCATGCTACTGCCGTTTAATTCTAAAGGTTGATTTAAAAGGGGTCATCGGATGTGACATGCACTTTTACAAGCTGTTTGAACTGAAATGTGTGTTGGCAGTGTGTGTACACAACCACCCTATTAATGATAAAGATCCACCCATGTTTTTTTTTTAATCTCGTTAAATAATTTCCCCTTTCTCAAATCGAGCCGATCTCAGATACCTGACGTCACACAGACCCAGGCCCTCCCACGATTGTTTGACTGACAGTAGCGTTTCAGCACAGACTGGACTGGCGTCTTACCTTAGCCCCGCCCTGAGTGAGCTGTCATCAGTCCGCCATTGTTTCACCGCCGGAGCAGATGTAGACACGAATGACTCCTAAGCGATTGAGGTGTTCTGTTGTTGGATGTAATAATGAACATAGCAGTCCTCATTTACTCTCGACATCTGAGCCGCTGAAGTCGCAGTGGATTATATTTGTTTCTGAAGGGAAAGGCACAATTTTTGGGGGGGCCGCACTTTTTTTGGAGGGGGGCTACTTTGAAAAAAAATATTTTTCTGAAAGTAATTTTCAGATGCAACGGGGGGGAAAACGGGATAGACACAAACATGAAACTTGTAAATAAAATAATCTGATATATAGCCTATGTACAATTTAATAACATAGCCTAGTTTGATATATGAATTGGGTGTTCGTCAAAGATTGCATGCGGTCTGAGATTCCCGTGTTTACAGCTCCATTAAATAACCTATTGGAAGCTCTGTAGTTTTGCTGTATAGGCCTATAGATAAAAATATTAAAATTACAAACACACAACATTTTGAGTTCCTTACATTTCTGAAAAAAAGAATGTAGGCCTAGTAATTGATGTTATAAATACACACGCCTGATTTTTGTTTTAATTATCCATCGTACATAAAAAAACAACAAAAAACATTTGCAACCAAGACAAAAAAGCCAGAAGTGAATGTAAACGAGATTTGGCCCAGACTCTGTTGCTCTCTGTGAAGCCAAGCATAAGAATAGCCTACTAATGTAAATCTGTTAACCCACAGTAACACATTTTAACAGATTAATCGCATATTTTCGTTTGCTGCATGCTTTTAAAAACACAATAACATTTTTTTTGTTGAGAAAAAAAAAAAAAGATACGTCTCGTATAAATTGCATTTTCAGAAATAATAACGGCAGGCCTAATAATGTTGTAATGTACCAACATTATAAACACTATAGGATAATTTAGTTCCCTTCACTTTACAACAAATCCTTTACATTTAACCGTATCAGAACAGAATAAGAATTTAAAAATATATAATTCTAATGGATAAATATAATTGCAGTATATAATAATATATGCTTAGCAATAAACATGCCAAAACTAATTAATTTATAAAGAAACGTAAGGTAAAGTTGGGCTTACTTCTCTCAGGCACAAATCCAAATGTGTCCATATTCGCGATGTAGCTGAAGCTAAACTATTAGCCTTATTAGGTAAAATAGGCTTTGTAGTTCACAGCGCGTTCCAGTATCGACGAAAAAATATCATAATGAGCAAAAATATGCCACAGTGGAGCGGGTGCCACAGACGCCGGCGCGATCAAACAGCTGAAACATCAAATTTGGTCATACAGTAAAGGCATAATTCGAAACTGCAAAGTGCAAAGTGTTTCCACTTTGAAAATTCAAGAATAATAGCAAAGTTAATAAGAATTCTTTCTAAATGCAGCACCGTTCTTATTTCGCTCTGCATAACCTGAACGAAAAAAATCGCTTTTAATCTGTGTATTTAACAGCCTGGGAAACCTTCCCAGGGCAGTACCTTGCCTCACCGACTTAAATCATGGCGCCCACTACGGAGACGGCACCAGAGGTGAGGAGAAGCACCCGGCTTCAGACAACTGTTCTCATTGGTTAAAGGCGTCACGTCCTGATGTCGAATCTAGCGGGTTTTCACTTCCGCTGTTCTTCGCTGAATTTTGAGTACAGGCGAGCTACGTCTCTAGTCTAATTTGTTTAATTATACGTTTTAGTTCTAAAGTGGCGTTTAGTGTGCTGTTAAAAGGAAGGGTGAAGTAGTTTAAAAATAAAATCGCGTAGTTTTACTCACTCAACCATATCACGCAAATAGTTTCCCAAAAGCATCGTAGGTCTAAATGCCTTCACGTTCAGTCGGAAATGTGATCATTCTCACTTCTGAAGTTGTGACTACGAGCTCATCGCATTAAAGTTTCGAAATGGGAGGGCGTTCATGTGCAATGTTTACCTAGGAAACTCGTATTTACGATAATTCCGAGAGCACGTGAAGGCAGCATTAGAAACATTAGTGTGTGTGGTTTTGGTGGGATTATGATTAGGATATAGTGTTCCCAAAATAAGCCCCTTAAAAGGAAATAGTGGCAAAACTGAACCAGCAGAAGTAATATAGGACAAGTTAACATTAACAATAGCTATACAAAATTATATTGTTTTTCTGTGAATAAAATGATTCAATGTAAAATATTTAGATATTATTATTAATAATAATTATACATCTATTAAAATAAACGGTAAACTACATTTATTAATAATAATTAAACAAAGTATGATTACGTTTAACAGTCCTTGAAAGTAGAGCTCGTTTTTTATATTACATACTGTTATGCTGCTATACAGTATATGCACTAGTGCAGGTGCCCAATCCTGCTCCTGGAGGGCCACTGGTCTGCAGAGTTTAGCTCCATCCCCAATTAAATACACCTGAACCAGCCAATCAAGACCTTATTAGGCATACTAATAACTTCTAGGCATGTGTGTTGAGGTAAGTTAGAGCTAAATTCTGCAGGACAGTGGCCCTCCAGGACCGACTTTTGAACACCCCTGCACGAGTAAAAAATAAAACATTTTATGCTAATACTGATTCTCTGGATTTCCTTCTTTTTGCAGATCCTTGTCATTGTCATCCCCACCCCTCCATCTCTCTCCTCTTTTGTGGTGTTGTTCACTTTATAACTCAAAGGCTCTTTTAAGAGCCATTTCCCCTTGCAAAAACTTTGAATACAACTCCCAATGAGAAAGAAATGCATACAGGTTGAAGTTGTTCTTTAACTCATAGAAGTTTGTGAGTTTTGCTTAAATTTAAGTGACTTGTTTGTATCTTTTACTTATGTACAGCTGTCCAGTCGCAGTGTGACCCTAAATGTTGTCCAAATCCTGTGGTAACAAGTCTGAACGTAGTTAAAGCAAGCAAAACATTTTGGGGAACCATGCCAAATGAGGGGCAACAGCAGTTGGTAAGTTTAGGGATTTTTTCTTTACAAAATACTGTTCATCAGCCTGAGCATTTATGTATCTTTATCTGAATGTTAGCTAAACAATGCTTTGGATGTCGAAAAGTGAAAAGACGAGCCATTGGCAACTGCATATAACACAACTCTAAAACGATCAGACCTGTGCTGTCTGGGACTGGAAAAAGACATTGAGGGAACGGCACACAGTTCAAAAACATTATATTTGAATATAGCAATTAATGGTGGATGTTGTTTATATTGATTTTCTGTTTTATTTTAACGCAGGTTCTCAACTGTTTTCCTTTGAGTTTGAGATAACTTTGTATGTACATAATTTAAAAGAATTGCATTACACATACCTGTCCTGCACTACTTTTCATTGCAGGTCTGATGAAGAAAGACGGGCAACAAAAAGACAAATGAGGCATACTGAAAAGAATGTATGAGACATTTAATAAGACTTTTTTTCCCTTCTCTTACCATGTATAGACTGACTTGTATTCTTTGCTATCCTTTTAGGCACAAAAGGCAAGCATGACTGCAGAGTTGCAACTTTTGGATGTAAGATGTCTTTTTTTCTTTTGTGCTGGAATACTGTAATATTCCATTCAAGCAGATAGCTTAATCCTTTTATAAATACTTTCCAGTTACCCATGGAGGTCTTGGAGATGATACTCCTTGAAGTAGTGCTACAGGATGGAGATGCTGCCTACATGAATATGTCTCTTACTTGCAGTTGTAAACAAGGCCCTGTTCAGACAGAAGGCACACTATGCATGGCTTGACCAGTAAGTGTGTTAAGGTTTAAATGTGTGCAATGATGTATGCATAAGGCCTCATGAGTATAAGGTTGGCTTTAAGTAATCTTGCTTTTTCTAAAGCACTGTTATGGCTAACAATCTTAGATGTGCATATGAAAGAGTTCTGTTTTGTGTGTGTTTTTGGCTACAGGTGTTGGTGAACTGGGGAAAATGGAGTGAAACATCAAAGGCTGAATTGCGGGTGCCTTTTGAAATAAAAGTGTGTAAAATATGTCAAACCGTGTTCAAATCCTGCTCAGGTTTTTACAGTAATGGGAAGCGTGGTTGCCTGAGAGGATTCTACGACAGCATAGAGGACCCAGACTGCTGTTTCATGTGCCAGTAAAGTGTATAAAGAAGGAAGGTTTAATGATTAAAGGAGATTAAGCATTAAAGGAAGAAAGTGTGTAACCAGAGATTTATATGTACAAAAAGATGTTATATACAGATGTACAAATTTCACCTTTCTTTATCATAATTAAACCGTTTCATACCTAAATAAATAACAAGGAAATAATTGTCTTGGCATGTTATTCATATACAAGCAATGCTGGTATTTTTCCCATAAGCTTTTCATTATCAAGTAAATCCATAAT